TGTTCCCGGAGCCGTTGTTGCTTCCAGAGCCATTGCTTCCAGAGCCATCATTACCATCAGAACTGCCGGAGCCATCGTCGTCATCATCACAGCCTCCGCCGGCAACCTGATCAGTGGCTCCAACATCTCTCTTTTGAGAACAACCGCCTCCAAGAGCCAAAAGCCCAACAGACTGCTCTTCCTGTATACCAGTCAGCACAACATGAACAGCAATATATACCGTAAGGGTGAACGTACAGTTGCGGGAGCCCTGGCCTGTAACTCAACAGGGTGAGCTCCAACCGGGGAGGCAAATAGCGAAGCACTCGATAGTGCCAGAGCCAAGATGGCGGTGTGTGTATGAGAAGGCATTGTGTCTAGGGAGCAATAGATTCAAATCGAAGATGTAGACAGGAATGTTCGTTTTACTTGAAACTGGAGGCCTCGGCGGAGACCAGAAAAATCTCAAGACGAATTCGAAGCTGAAGCGTAAACGTGACCGGGATTAGTTACAAGTCTCTCGATTTATAGCATTTTTCTAAAGACCTACAATATATCGTGATGGTGCCAAGATTTCCCGAAACGGCTTGAACAGACTAGGTGAAGCAACGTCCCAGGAGATTTTTGTCACACAGTCAATGGCTACTAGTCGATCTGATTCGAGATATAGATGTACCCTTAATTCGATTAACTGGACCTCCGTGCACACTTTAGGTCCCCATGCAGCGCCGCTAGCTTGGGCCCAGAAGCGTGTGTGGGCTAAAGTTACATGGTGTAGGAGGGTTACCCACACACCAATCCAAAGTAGTCGACACCACTCAGAATAAGCGTGTGATAAGAGCTTGGCACAATAGGCTTAGCTCTGGGCCCTAAGTGTACGAGAACATTTTGCTACTGTGTCGGCTCTAATTTCCAGTCCCACATGATTGGATGAGTGCTGTTAACGTCTTAGACAGGGATGGGTCCCGGGAGAACGGTAGCATTCTTTGCTATTGCTTGTGTAACAGGCATCGCCAATCAATCGCACCTCCTCTACTGGGAGGTTCAGGCCTTCTCCTTGTGGCGCAATGAGAGAGTCGAAAATGTCGTACAAGACCGAGGGGTATGACTGTCTATATTATATGGTATTATAGTGAGTGTGTTGCATCGATCACTATCCCACCCGATGCCAATGTATAGCAGTGTTCTGGTCCCGGAGACGTCGCCTTGAGGTTGCCTTGCCGGCAGTTTCTATGGAAATTTGCTGGAAGAATCCCTGGGTGCCCCCCCGTCTGCCCCGATTTAGTAAGGCTGATGGTTGCAAAATGCGGATAAGCCAGCATTCTTAACTTAATCCGGGAAGTTTTCTCCGTAGGCGATTTAGGTCACGACGCGTGTGCTCCCTCATATTGGTAGTATAACTGCGAAAGTGATGACGAGTAGAGAGTAGTTGACGAAGGAAAGCATACGTTAGAGTCATTTTAGCAACAAAACCAGTGGGAGAAGTTGTAGACGAGAATGAAGTTTCTGGGTGGGTGGTTGGAGAATAGTAACTAGTAGTTGCTAGAGAGAGGAGTAGGTACTACTCCGTAGTTAGTAGTAACAAGGTTCGCCGGGAAGGAGCGACTCCGACTGGCTTCCCCGCATGGCTTCAACTCGGCCAACTTCTTTCTCTCTGCACTCTATCGCCTCGCCCTCCCTTCACTCACCCCCATTCAGACACCCTTATCGCTGATACTGTAATCTTACAACCACAGTCATGGCCTCTCTTCTCAAGAAACCTTTGAAGCTGGCTTTGATCCAACTGGCCGCAGGTGCGTACGATTGTTATCTCACCCCGTCCCCGCCTCCCCTCGCTCTCTCCCAAGCTGGTCCGAATCGAATGCTGAGAATTGATGGTCTTTAGGCGCCGACAAGACAGTAAATCTTGCGCATGCTCGCTCCAAGGTTCTTGAAGCTGCTAAAGCTGGTGCCTCTCTAATCGTCCTTCCGGAATGTTTCAACTCCCCCTACGGTACCCAATACTTTCCCAAGTACGCCGAGACATTGCTTCCTTCCCCACCCACCCAAGAACAGTCCCCCTCCTACCATGCGCTTTCGTCCATCGCCGCAGAAGCCAAGGCCTACTTGGTGGGTGGTAGCATTCCGGAACTTGAGCCGGCCACGAAAAAGTACTACAACACCTCGCTGGTCTTCTCCCCCACCGGTGCCTTGATTGGAACCCACCGCAAGACTCATCTCTTCGATATCGACATCCCCGGCAAGATCACCTTCAAGGAGAGCGAGGTCCTGTCGCCAGGTAACCAATTGACCGTGGTAGATCTGCCGGACTATGGTAAAATTGGACTGGCTATCTGCTACGATATTCGCTTCCCAGAGGCCGGCATGATTGCGGCTCGGAAGGGCGCCTTCATGCTCGTCTACCCGGGCGCTTTCAACACCACCACCGGTCCGCTGCACTGGTCGCTGTTGGCTCGGGCTCGCGCCGTTGATAACCAGGTGTATGTGGCCTTGTGTAGTCCTGCTCGAGACATGAGCGCTTCGTACCACGCCTACGGTCACAGCTTGGTTGTGGATCCGAGCGCGAATGTGCTGGCAGAGACGGAGGAGAAGGAAGATATCATCTACGCGGACCTGGATAACGAGACCATCCAGAACACGAGGAAGGGTATTCCGATCTACACGCAGCGGCGATTCGATCTGTACTCGGACGTGAGTGCCGATAACAAATAGCCCTGCACCTCGCATTGAGTGCGACGAATATAAGCTGCGAGCCAGTCATAGCCTAGAATGTAACTGAATGACTTACGAACCTAGTCCGCGACCGTTGAAATGGAAAGAGCGCGATAGTACACAGTAACTAAGAGTAGGAGAGCATGTAAGCAAGCCTGAAGCGATATTATTTGTTGCCTCAGGCAATAACATGGTTAGCTGCGGGAAGGTACTCACGTGCTGGTAAAATGGACGAATCAGAGTGCGCACAGGCGATAAGCGAGCCGCACTGGAAAACCCACCAGCACTGCGAAAAAACACCGTCTCGAAATCTCCTCATCCTTGACAGTCGACGACCACTGCAGCCCACGACAGCCGACACTTCTGTCCCTCATTCAGTGAGTGAGATCTCTCCGCAGATTTGCTTGAGCCTCTTATTCTCTCCGCAGATTTGCTTGAGCCTCTTATTCTCTCCGCGAGAATCACCCCATCCTAACATTATTACCTCAACCACAGAAATGTCCGCCCCCGTCAAGACCGGCAAGAAGACTCGCTCGGCCATCGCCGACGTTGTCACCCGCGAGTACACCATCAACATGCACAAGAGAGTACGTTGAACACAGCCAAAACATCTGCACTTGATATTCATCACAATTCGACTCTACCTGCGAGCGATTTCCGCGGAACCTCGAAAACATGGAGGCAATTGGACGGAGAACAAAATAAAAAAAGACAAAGCGGGAGTCCGAATCCTCGTTTCCTCCTCCCACCTCTACCACTCCCGAACTCGAGGATTACGAGTGAAGAAGGAGAGGTTTAGGGCGAGAGAGCCCACCGCACCTGTCTGAAAAATTACATGTGTGGAGGAACAATCAGGAACTAGATTGTTGAGGAAGATGAAGAAGAAGAAGAAAAACCCATAAAAAGAAGAATTAGTTTGATGAAGTCCACCTCTATGGCCGCATTTTCGCAAAGCAAAAATATCCAAAATCACATCTACCAGATGGCATTCGGGCGGAAGACTAATATTCGTTCTTTTTTTGGGTATAGATGCACGGTGTTTCCTTCAAGAAGCGTGCTCCTCGTGCTATCAAGGAGATCCGCGCCTTCGCTACCCGTGCTATGGTTAGTTCTCCCTCCCCACCCCCATAACCCAAGTACATATCACCTAACGCATACCCTCAATCGAACAGGGTACCACCGACGTCCGTGTCGACCCCCAGCTCAACAAGAAGGTCTGGGAAGCCGGTGTCAAGGGCGTCCCCTACCGTCTCCGTGTTCGCATCTCCCGCAAGCGTAACGACGAGGAGGGCGCCAAGGAGAAGCTCTACTCCTACGTCCAGGCTGTCAACGTCAAGGATGTCAAGGGTCTTCACACCGCCGTTGTCGATGAGGAGTAAATTACTCTCTAATTTCTCCTTGATCGATTAAAAAAACACAAACATCATGTATCTTATTCCCCCTTAAAAAAATGGAAGCCCTGATTCTTTGCAAGCTTGACGGGTTCTCTCCTTTTTTTTTATTCATGATGGATGATGCAACGGGACGGGGTTCGGCTTTTTGGAAGAGATAATAAAAAAATTCCAAAATCTCCTTCCATCTTTCTTTAGTATTATATCAGTAGAAGTACGTAGGGTGATTGATCGACAGTGTTATCGTAGTAGTAGTAGATTGGAGTCTTGAGGTGGAGGACTGTGGGCTATCAGCTACGTACCATGTCTTAATTTTTCCTAAGCATGGTGGTAGTTCGTGGTGGTAGTGGGGCACATACTTACATACCATACCTTATGCCGTAGTAGTATCAGTCATGGTAGTTGTACGGGTCACAAATTTTCCACCCGTCAATAATAATACTACAGAAAAGAAATCCAGGTATGAAAGAATTTTATTATAATTCTTTAGATAAAATATAAACATGAACAAATGGCAATATCGGACTTCGGAAGCACAATACCATTTCGCAAAGAAATAATGATAATAATAATAATAATAATAATAATAATAATAAAAACCAGATTCTTCGAATTTCCCACTCGCTATGCTAGATGCGCCTGTTTTCTGGTTGGGCAGACAGAGAGTAAGAGTAACAAACGACGCTACCGACGATGCAGCCGCAGCAATCAAGTTGCACGATGTGAAAAAGAACAAGAGAAACATTTTTACTTACACAGGTTCTCGAAAAGTCGGGGAAGAAGGGATGATTGAGGTGTCTGAAGGGTAGAAGTGAAGGGAGAAGATGAAAAGAGACACCAATCTTCAGAGACAAGTTCCCAGTGAGATAATCAGAGGGAAGGAAAAACCACAGATGTCCGTCTGTTTGTTCGGGCGGCAGACAGCCGATCATCTTTGATCGGCCTGTCATAGATAAGAAAAGACAATAACAGTAGCTGCAAGGCCGGATGATTTAATTCCAACGGACAAAAGGGAGAAGGGCGTTGACCTAAAACGGCGCCAGGTGAGGGTCTTCTGATGCAGAAAAGGAAGTTGATATAAAACAGAAATCAAGCGAGAAAAAGCACACCATAATACATCGCCACTTAGACGCCTGCAAAGTCCATCAAGTAAATTCAGTCGCATATCCTATGTACCGCATCTAGTCGTAGAAATCAAAGTGTGCAGTACTCAATTCTTTGTTTCTTCCATGGATTTGCAGAGGCGCTCAGCATCCGCATTCGTTTTGACCCGCAGGGCCCACATCTGAGGAGGGCCTTCGGATTGAGGGACAAGGAATTGGACGCTGTTCTTCGCCACGGAGTATCGAATCTCTTTCATCAAGCGCGTGTTCAGAATCACCTTGCCGCTCGGGTCTGCCCGGACGACAATCCGCCCACGAGAAGTGGTCCGATCCTTCAAAACGCGAAGGAATCCAACGCCTTGGCTCTCCCACCCTGCGCCGGTTGTATGTTTCATGGCACGGGCCCGGCTCTCCGTCACAAGATCTTCGTTTTCCTCGCCGGCGCCGCCCCGCGTGAGATCGACCTGAGGCAGGGACTCGGCGCCATCACCGTCTCCCGACTCTTCTGC